CTTTCGGGTACTTACCTATCATTATAGATAGAAAAGCCCATTCGATTTATTTTGACACTTATGTTTATCTGATGGTCACTGAATTTACCATACACTTCTGTCGCTGGCATAATTTAGAGTTGTTCAGGTTTTACAAGACTATCAGGAGGATATTTTCCAAGGGTGTTAGTTGGTTTGTAGTATGCTTTGAATTCATGTAACTAAAAGTTTCTTCCATTGTGCCACAGTAGTTTTTTTGTTAGTCTCATGACAACCCGCTTCACGAAACAAACCCAATTGGTTCTGTATTGTAGCGGTAAATAAATCCCCAAAATAAATAGCTCTGTAAGTTTTCGACATTGGATGCTGACCATATGTTTTAGTGGACTCATCTAACTGAAGGCGCTCGGCCATTCATCCGCACCAGATCACGTGTGGTAACGCTGTGCTCAAGATCCACCGCAATCGCTAGCCAGATTAGATCAGAGAATTCCGATATATTGGTTATCGCCAAATACACTCTTCCGATCTCCTCGACCCTGTCTTTTGATTTCTCTTGGTGGGTCCGAATTATATTAGAGGGTGTCACTGGCAAAAGCGTTGTCAAACACTGAATACCTGTGCCATCTTCAGTATCAAATCAGCGGAAGAGTGATATAGTGGCAGTGGGATAGCACTCATTCCTAATTGTATGATAATTTAAGCTGAATGTGTCTCGCCTCGACAGTATTATCTTTGCACTCTAAACGGTAGATGAAAGGTGGTGAAGGTAATGAAGTTTGGAACGAAAACATCACCGAACACTCGTGGTTCGGAAACTCAAGTTGAATAATTCCACGTACCTACGCCTATGTGTTGAATTTGCCGCTCTGCTAATAGGCGTGTTTTTGTTTTCCAAAGGCTTCTGCAAAAAGGTAATTTTAACTGCCCATATAGTGTGGATTACGATAGACAGTAATGTAACTATACAGTAAGGTTATGTAGACTAGCTTCTCACATGACAGCGGATCAATTAAGTTGTTTAAAGGCCGTTAACTTAGTGGCATATAGATGCTCGTCAATATCGAATGTAGTCACAATCTGCAAAGTCCTCTTTTCTCACTGTCTTAATGAGATCCAATTAACCCACTCGATTGTAACTCAGTCTCCCTTGCACTGGATTATTACTGCCTAAATGGTTGGCAAGCACAGGTGGAAGACGATTTATATGGAGCTCTATGTCCGGTTTATTCTTCATTTAGTCAACTAAAAAGAGGTAGGTGAATAAATATTTGACTAGCAGAACCACAACTTACAAGGAGTGAGGAAAATGCAATTATATCCAAAATAATACATTGCAGCCGAAAATAGTAGTTCAGAAATAAGATTTAAATTCCGCTAGTGTTAGAATTATAAGAAATAGGACAGCGCGTTATAAATTATCAGAAAATTTATAAACTGTAGGGTAAAGCTAGTGCAAAATCAAATACTAGTACTTTGTAGATTCCGAAATTAGCAAAACAGTGTCCCAAAATTTCTTTTCTTGTTTGTGAGCGCTTTTTTATTATTACCTTGACATTATAGACCGTTCAGAAAAAATATAAGATATAATAATCTCATCGACTCCATATTTAACTTTAGAGCTTTAACTTGTAGTTTGTTTGAATCTGGTGCTTTGCTACTCTTGATCAATCTGATGGACTTGTAACAGTTCACCTGAGTGGATTTGGAATTAGATGAAAATATCCTACTAGGATTAGAACACTAAATTATTTTTCGACTTCCCTATTTTGTCAGTATCCTATTTTCCATCATTCTCTATCGAATGTTGAAAGATTTCTGCCAAAAAATAGGACCCTTACCCTCTACATGTTCAATGCAATTGGTTCCCTTTATGATTGAAGGGGAATAATAGCAATTCGTCACATTTCGCGGTTTCTCATCAGTTGAAATGTAACACTGAGGCAAAATATAATGTGAAACAACTGAAAATTAATGACAGAAAAAATTAAAATAACAAAGACTATTAATAATACCTATCTGTATACTTAGATATATATTTTTATAGGAACAGATGTGAAGTCATTTGAGACACAGTTCAGGAAACATGTGGGGAGGTCAGGCAGAAATTAAATGAGGTCCGGAAACGGGTAAGATAGACTGTGTGGTAATTATGTAGGTTGCAAAAGACCTACGTAGGACTACTAGAATTAGAAATCGACAGTATGGGTTACGCAATAACAGAACGGGATTTCGAGAGCTTACATACGTTTAAAGAATTAGGGGAATAAAAGCTGGTGAATGAAAGAATGATTTTGGTGTACACAAAACAGGAATTAGTTTGGCGATGACTACATGGCAAATAAACACTAATAAAACAACCTTAACAATTTACCAAGGTAACGATAAATTGATTACAGTCTCTTTCTGGATACATAGATCACATTTGGCTTTTTACTACAACTGCTTTGGCAAACCAAAGAGACACTGATTTTTCCGTCTACTAATGATTTTGAAGGATTGTAGAATGCCCATGGTTTGTTCGGTATCAATTAGATACCAAGCTAGTGCACGGTTTAAAGCCACTGGGCCCTACAGTCTCAGTTTTTTTGAAAAGTACTCGGAAATGCGAACATATACACTTATCCTTGTTTGTCCAATTTATGTACCTTGGCACGTACATGTAAATTAGTAGATGTAGATAGGGGTACTGATAAAAGAGGACCCATCAACTCCTGCTTGCTTGAACGAGCATTTCGTTTCACGTAACGTCGTCAGTCTTGTTGGTGGATAAGCAACCTTCATCGTGACATTAATCGTGCTATTGATTATTCAAGTGATTTCATCTATAAAATGCAAATATAAGAAACAAGTTTTATTTTCCACTGTATCGCATTTAAGATGTACTTTGATTCTGGTATACCTGTAGCGTGGTGTCGAGTTCCAGTTGACTATGAGCACCACTACAAAGGAACGCGTGCCAGGATATCCATAAAATTTCCCGGAAACCAAATATCAGAAGGCAGTTAATGGACCAAGTCGAGATATATTTGCTGGCGATCTCGTGGTATCGAAAGAATATCAAGATTGTACCAGGATACAAGCTTCGTTACTGAGCGTAGCCGGATTCGCGCGAGAACACAATTGGAGTAAGCATAATGGATGTTTTTAGCACAGTTAAACAAAGAGCACATTAAAACAGTCACTGGTACAATTGGTTATAATAATAATTGTTTTCATTAAACCAATCGTGTTCTCGTGATAAAAGTAAGTCACTACATACCTCCCGATGAATTTTGATGGACAAGAATTTTCACGTAGAAGATTCATAATGAAGGCAAGTTCTTCCAAGCTTTCCTTTGAACAAAGTTTATGAGCGCAGTCAAAAAAGGTTTATGCAATCCCCTTTTTATAACCTATAGAACTGGAGATGTTTAATTTAAACAGATTCTACTGCACGTATTTTTGTGGCAGATGGATCTATGTAGTGTGCCGTTTGACGTTCGTATGATTTCAATATCTAATAAATGGAATTTGCCTCCTTCACGTTCGATTGTAAAACCTGTATCTGTGTGTGCTTCGTTAAACAGATTGCTAGGTGTTGTTTGCCCATAGTTGTAAGACTTCGATTACCTAGTTTGATGAGTCTTCTGAGATACTTATGGGTGCTTTGATGACCTGTTGTGCGAGCTTAGTTGATTCCAAGATGATTATTTGACATTTAAGGAATGTCGTCTGCAGCCATAAGAACTTGGTTAGACTCTCTAACCAAGAGTTGAACATCTCGAGATGACTGCCAGGTCGTGCTTACACACGGAAGTTCTATAAGTACATATAACTAAAGCTAATGTCATAAAATTCCAAGCCTACTGAATCGGCTTACCGTAAAAGGTCAAGGTTTGAGGTAGGTTTCCAAAAGTGTGCGCTACCTGGTTAGTTTGTCTTACAGATTCTTAATAAAGACGTTCTGTTGTCCTTTAAAGTTTAGACGTTTTCTAGCCACATTGAAAAGTTAGTTTCAAACATATGGCTATCTTTTCGAATGTTATGAAAAGTTTTCGTTTATTCTAGAGCTACGGCCATTCTTGATGAATATCCTTTTTCATGGAAGCATATTGTCTTCCGTTCAAAACATGAGTGTTTTGCAAATTATGGAAAGTATGAGTTGGTAATAGGTTCGATTGCTTCGCACTTACTGCTGGAACTCGTTTGGTTTCATTAGCTTTCGTAAACATGGATTAGTTGTCTTAATGCAATATCTTTAACGAACTTCGTAAGTCTTGTAAGATAATAAACATCCACAGAGTTTTTAATGGCTATATAAAGTATTCACACACTTCGGGATCTTTTGATAGTGCTTCCAGTACAACATCCTTGCATTTTCATGTCGTGAAACCACTTTTAAGGCTTTCCCGAAAACCGTAATTATATTCCGTATACAAAGTGATGACGGAAATACTCTTAAGCAGCATGGAGTACTCCAGCTGTTGTTGCAAGTGATTCGGAAGGCCTGATATCACTCTGAAACAATTCTGTTCGTCATTACATTACTACCCTGAACTCCCAAACCAACAAAATTCTCTTTTGATTTTAAACTTTTTGGCAACCTATATGGCCCTAATGGACTGACTGAGACTAAGATTTCATAAAAATATCAGAACACTGATTTTCCCTTCACATAAACATGCTCATATCCGTTCAATATTTTACCACCAATACTTATTTAATGTTAGTAGGACCTAGTGGCTGCGTAGAAACCCAGACATCAACTACTGTTGTGAATCTACGAACTCAGCGGCAAAGGTTGACATTAAAGGTCAAGTTGTTTTTGTAAAATGGTCATATAGTTACGGGATTCGTAAATTGTTGTTATCAGCAATAATTAAAAGGTACGCAAGTTTGGTGGTGCAATTTAAAGAATCTTTGCTGAATCAAATCGTCTCTGAAAGCGACTTGCTAGTGGTCTGTTATCAAAACAAATACTTGGAAGAAATAAACAACACTGAAGAGTGATTCTACCGACCTTCAAGGGTTTTCATAATCTTTAGCAGCCTTTTTACGAACAACATAATGTGAATTGTAGATCCCTATTATATGTATTCCTGATGCTTCAGTAGTTTTATCATGATTGCCATACATTTGTTCGCTAAATCCATTCTTCATAGACCATGTCTGGTGACTGTTCCGTTTCCGGTCAATGTGACGATCCCATGAATACCCATCAAGCTGATGAGGACGATTTGAAGACGATGGAAACGGAAACAATAGTTGAAGAATTTGTCAGATTAAAGCTAAAACAAAGTGCAGGGATTGTTCAACGCCGGCGAACTTCAACTGATATGGAGTAAGACCAATATAAACGTCTTAAAATAAATTTTAGGACACAAGCTTTAATTGGTCGTCTTATAGAAATATCAAATGAGTTAGAAGCTCAATATGGCGAACGATTAAATCAAGATGCTGAAATGTGGATCAAGTCAGCCACCTATGAAAAGTTTCTACAGATTGCAAAAGGGTAAATGTTTTTCCACCTTCTTGCTATTTTTATTATAAATATTTATTATGAATATTACTTTATCTAGTAGAAGCATCTCTTAGGAGATACTATGTGTTTTGTGTCCTGTTTTTGGATTGTTTCATGATCCCGTACAATATGAAATGGAGATTATCTGTGGAAAGTTGCGAAAACGCTTGATTATTTCGTTATCAGTCTCTTGTTACTAGCAAAATCGTCCTAATTTCCAGGTCTAGATCTTCATTTTACATTTGTTATTCTTTCTACTAGTTTGTTTGACCTGATTCTAATTAACTTTATAACAAATTGTCCGGTTTATTTATTTGATAAGTGTGTATTGCAATTAATTAGAAAAAAGTATAAAGTAAGAATCAAAATCTCCATGAATCCCTAAACGTCTGTGGTGTTATCGATTGATTCTTGTGAGAGGTGGTAGAGCATGTTGTCAGCTTGTTCGCTACAATTCAGTGAACTGAAATCTTAACATTTTCGATCTTTTGTGGTATTAAAACCTCCAGAGTCAATATGGTGGATTGTATGAGATAATGTTTTGCGGATAGTAATTTTCTGCCTATATTTAAGATTTAAACTATGTTTCACATGCTACCGTGAGTAAATTTTTATGGCGATATTCCTCTACTAATATAAAGATGCCAACTCTAAAAAGTTCATGTGAGAAATTAACATCAGTTAGCTTTATAACTAACTACTGCTTCTAGTTTAAAATGTAGTCTTTTTTCTTAAGATCGTATTCGATTTGAAAAACAAAAATCCAAGAATCTATGGTTTTATGAAATCGTGACTCTCAGTTGATCCCACCCAACTAAATTGTTTTTAAATTCTTATCTTATCTCAGTTATTGCTGTAAAATAAAGTCACTAAGTTTTTAACTTATATGGTAATCATGGTTTGAATATAACGAAAAACAGTGATAGGAAAGGCAGTTATTTGAACTCACTAAAAAATTGTCGTTACAAAGTTTACTGTTCTTGAAACTGTCTTTAGAAATGGTGGAACCGTGGTCTACTCTTACACCAAACAGCTACAACGATAAGTTGAACGCTGAAGTCTAACTGGCTGTCATTTGCTTTCCAGTCCCCCATCACTCACCAGCAGCTTGAATGGGAGATCGTTGTCATGTTTTCATGTCAATGAAGTTTAAAAAGCACAACTAGCTAAGCGAAGAGTATCTGATTTTGGTCGATCAACTTCGTATATCTCAAAGCAGGTTTTGTTTTAACAGTCAGGTTAACTAAGAAAACTATGGTTTTGGAGGCTAAACGTGATTCCTTCAAACTGATCACAGTTATTAATCATCCTAGTTTAGAAGTATGAACAGAAATTTTCCCATAATAAAGTTTGGCTAATATAGTGTCTAAAGTATAAACATTGATAGTCATCACACTTACTGTTCCCTGACTCTTGTTGTATTTTCCTGACGTGGAGATTTAATTTGACTTTTTTGGTTGGCAGACCTCATAATAGTTTGTCCTTTAAGAGGCATACCAAATAAGTACACCCACCACTTGAGTGCTCTTTACTCGAACATTATCAATCAAGTTAGAGTTTATGATAAACCATCATATGATTCGGCTACATTAAGAGGCTTTCTGCAGAGATTCCTAACTTTTCCTTTTTAGTTTTTTTAAAGACGTTTCTTTGTCTAATTTTTTTGGAATTAACCACTTATTTGTTCATTTTGGATACCCAACTAACAGTTCTGTTTAGCAGACTTCTATAAAAGTTTAATTTTCTAAACACTACAGAGATGCCTGGAATGCGTTTTTCTTTCACCAAATGCTAAACATTGCCTCATAACTAATCTATGTCAGTGCTTTGTCTTGCCATAGGGGGTATTAGTCAATCATCTAAACCACTTCACTTATCTTAGAAGTCTCACTTATTTATTTATTTACTTGACACATAAATACTGGTACAAGGGGACACCAGATACATATGCGCCACACAAATCTCATTTGATTTGTGTGGAGGCTGGAATACTGCCTGGGTGGACAAACCGAATCAGGTGATTTTCTGAGGGGGCCACACCCGGAGCCTTCGACTTAAAGGTCCGAGCCACAAGGCAGTGGAGCAACGTAAAGAGATGCAGTCCTATGGTTTATATGCCATTTGTTCCCTCAGGGTACTGGAGCCCATGTGCACCATTGGTTTGGAATCAGGGTTTTGCAACTCCCCTAGATGGACTCTCCGTGTCCATCGGCCCCGTTAAAACGCCGGACATTCGCTTTTCATCTTTTCAATTCCGTACACAACACCCCCGCCACAAGAAGGCAGTGAATAGGACTTCCCCGGAAGAGGCTATATACGAGTGACCATGTGACAGCATTTCGAGAGGGAGAGCGGACTCTCTCCACTTTCGGTCGTACCAGGGCATTTGGGGGTAGTGAATTCTCAGCATAGATACTGAAAAGCAAAATTTACTCCATCTGTAGTACAGCTGTATCATATCATGGTTGCTAAACGTAGTCTATACAAGTAGGAAATGCATAGGCTGAAACTATTTGACCTTATGTTTCCTTAAATAACTACTTGCTTATAGTTGAACCATTAAGTGAGTAATACTGAGGTAAGTCGATTGGTGAGGGTATAGACTTTCGTCATCTGAGGTGATTAAAATGTGTCACCTGTGTTTAGCTGCCGTCAACCTCTAAGTGCGATACTGTCTAGCGTGCTGTTAGGTCGAAAAAGTCAGGGATGGTCAGATCAAGGTATGATATCAATTCACAAAGTCGTTGGTTGTTTGTCTGATTCATGTTGGTAGGGATCCATAGTTTAATCATGATTAATAGTTAGTTAGCATGGCTCAAAATAGTTCGCGATGACAGAATCATATTGATTCTGTCTTCCTCCGAATCTTGAGTTTCAAATCATTCTGTAATTTTGATTTTCATCTTGCTTACTTCCTCTCACGATATCCTCACGTGGCATATAACAGCTTAGACCTATAAATATTTGTAGCAAGCCTTAAGTCGACTAATACTGACTGATATTTCTCATTCAGTTTTGAGGATTTATTTCGAATATCACCTATTAAGATTTCTTCACATGTTTTTTTGTTTCTGTAGTTTAAGGAAGATTAATTATCTCCAGGCTTGCCCATCTTTTGAATTGAACTAAGGATAAGACAAATAAGTTACCACGATACATTTCTCATTCACATAATAACTTTTTCACAAACTTGGCTCTTTGTATCTACAATTATTCATAGTTATACTTTAATAATATAATTATATTTGTGGTGGTCGGTATTCGATATATCCCTTAAACTTCGTATACAATTCGTCTTGATAACCGTCCTATTTAACCCCAACGGTATATTATTCAGAAGGCGAATACGAAGCGTTGATTACGTTTATTTCGAGACCACACACACAGATGTCCAAAATTACAGATGCATTAAACGAGCATTAAGAGTTGTGTCGAACGGCAAACAGGCAAGCGAGCGACTGAGCGAATGTAAGCAATCGAGTACAATCAAGCGAGCGAGAAAGCAGAGTCAACCATATTAATAACGTGGACATATATATAGCATGTGAAATTAATGAGTAATCGAATCAAATAAGCGGTTAGTAGTGAGACTAGCAGAGTGAACAAATGCGTAGGCCGTAAGCAATATTCAAGCATGCGTATTTCATACAAGCACAAAATAATAATAAGGGTGCAATAAATTGTTATAGTGCGGATGGCTTTGTCCGCTAAATAAGTTAGCAAAAGGGTTTAACTGAGTTAAATGAGAATAAACCCATTTGCACGTGAGTCGCTATATATTCACATAACGTGAAATCTAAACGACTAAATATCCAATTAACTTCATGTATCCAGATGTCGTTATGTATATTATTTCCGTATTATTTTTTGTAATGTACACAAAGATAACGATTATGAAGGATCTTTTGACCTGCAAAATACATATCTGTAATGCTTTGCAAACTCATATTACACCTATGAAACTTAAACTTTTTCGCTCATTGGCTATTCTAAAGTCCCATGATTACACTAAAGTCGAATTATTGATAATAAAGAGATTTCATTCCGTTCTTATTTCCTTGCTTGTCCGTAACTCAAACGTTTCGCATGCATTATGTAGACAAATATTTTCTCTTAAGCTTAACAACTAACTAATCTTTACTAACTCCTTCGCCTAATGTTTTTAAAATACTGATTATCATGTATTCGACTTTCATTGTGGTTATTTTTAGATTGAACCACTGAGAGTCACAAACCATTTACTGCCACTCATGTTATTTTCAAAAAGATTTTTAGTACATGATTAAGCTAAATGATTTCCAATCGATCACCGTTCAGTTACCAATATCTACTAGTGATACAACTTGTGCATAAGGTAACTCCTACCTTCAGTTTTTGATACGCTAGATACTACAACCTATTATTCTTTTCCTAGCTCATTTCAAATCAAAAGACATGTATTGCTTCGATTTCTTGGGACAGATTAAAGAGTATTGATTTAGGCCAGTGATTGCAAACTGATCCACTTAGAAAGTCCTCAGAAGTCGGAAAAAATTAATTTACTTACAGGCAACAAACCATAAGAGGAAAGGCTTTGAAAGCGGTAAAAAGTGAGCACTGTTCGCGTGAAGAATTCTTTCTAGTGAAAATAAAAGTCTAGAAAACTACTACACTACTACTAGATTACCTTATGTTTATCTATTTTCTGATAGTTGTAAAATAAATTTCATTATTATCATTAGACTAATTTATGCATCAAACCATATTGGATATGTTCTACATTGGCTTAACGTTTCAATATTGTCAAGTTAAAGGAGTTCATCGGTAATCTCTGTTTCTATCAAATAATTTATTTTAAAATCATTTTTAGAAAGAGATATATTTCATTGAAATCACGAACCGATCAAAATTAAGCAACCATTGAGAAACTGGAAGCATTAGACTGTTGTTTCATCCTAGTATTGGAATTCTCGACAAGGCACATCCACGACCCTGCAAACGGGAATCGGACCCAGAGCCTTCGGTCCCGCGCCCGAACCCTTAATTTGCACACGATTTGATCCCAGTTCATTGGTCTATAGATTACGAACTTCGGTCGGTTCGTGATTTCAGTGAAATTAAACAATCTTTACAACCCTATACTGTGGAGAAATAAAGTTAAAGAGCCATTGTATTGACTTATTTTAGAGTTTTTTCGGATGGGATTATTAATTGGTCACGAATTGTGGTATTGTTCATGTTCGCTGTCAAAGTGGTAGTCAATGCAATTTCAAAAGGATTTAGTGGTCTTGCTGGTGATGTCATAAAATTTGTTGTTAAATTTGTTTTTATTCATGGTATATACAAATGGGTCGAGAGTCATGGTGGTTGGGTAAGTTACCAGTTTTTATTGGCTGGACTATTTGCATTAGTCAATAACTGAACCTAAAATAATACTTGTTCTTTTTCACCTTTAATTATTCCAGTTTTTCATAGTGATCAGATATTAATATCTGTTGGAGAACAAGGTAGATAACTTGTACTAGATTTGTACATTTATTCAGTGTATATAGTTAGAGTTGTTCGTTGACAGTTAAATATAAAGTATTCCAAAATTCAAATTTTAAATTTATTATTATTATTTAAACACATAAACATTTGTACAAGGAGGCACCAAATAGATATGCACCACATAAATCATTCGATTTGTGTGAGGGCTGTAATACTGCCCGGGTGCCCAAACCGAAGCAAGTGGTTTTCTTAGGGAGCCACACCCGGAGCCTTCGACCTAAAGGTCTGAGCCACAAGGCAGTGGAGCAACGTAAGGAGATGCAGTCCCATGGTAGCCGGTGACCCACGATTGGTTTATATACCATTTGTTCCCTCAGGGTACTGGAGCCCATGTGCACCATTGGTTTCGAATCAGGGTTTTGTATATATATTGTTACCGAAAGTTCGTGATTGAGCAGGATTATTCACGAAAGATGATATTCTACTTGCTGAGAATGTTCAACTCAACATAGAAATTTTTTCGTATTCCAATGAAACGTAACAATGGTTTTAATGTATTAATTAGTTTCCAATCTTCATTTGCTCAAAACAACAACAAAACAATTTTGTTTAGAACTATCAGTCTACTTATATTTTACTAGTAGTGTAAAAATACTAGACTTAAGCCTTACCTTCTGAGCTGAATTCTCGAGGATTTTTGATCTGACCGTATGTTGCTATAGTGTACCACTCTACATTTTTCTTAATTCTGCTACTCCATCCAGTCGTTGGATATATAGACAAAAACATAACTAGCTTTGTTATAATAACGTATATTAAATGTAGTGTTTAGATTTTACCGTTTTGATGTATATTTGTCCTTTAAGAATTTCTAAAATTAGTTGTAGTCTAAGCTACTTGTTTGCAACACCGACGCCAGTACAACAAACGAAACTTTTCTATCCGCATCTTCCTCGCTAGTGAGAGACTCAATTTCATATAAAAGTTTTCTTGGTAGAGACCCTAGAAAAAATGATTTTTATGTTATGCTTATATGCAAAATATTAAAGTAAAATTAACATTATAAAATGTCATGCACAACTGGAGAAAATTAGTTTATAGGTCACTCATTCCCTAATAAATTGAGGCCCAAATGTTGACCAGCATGTCATAACAATTAATGAAACAATTCATTTATCTATGACGGGTTTACTTTACTGATTACCACTCAAGTTTAGTCTATTTAAAGATTAGAAATACAGTCGTGAGACTGTTAATTATCATTTAAATTCTCAATTATGTCCAATTTTCCTGAAGGTGTGTAAATATGTACTTACCGTTGATAAAAAGATTCATTTACCAAAATAGTTTACTCACTAGCCAAAAACCAACAGAACAATTGAAGAGGATTATTCATTTTATAGCTCGTCAACCTCATATTTCTTACGTATTAATTTTTGACAAGTCGTACTCAGTTTATTACATTATGTCAACATCATGTCAACAAATAGTGATTTAATTCTTGTTTTATCCATTCACATTCATAATAGTTTCATACTCTGTTTATCAAAAAGTAGTACATGAAACAAGTAATCATTTTCTTTTAAAATTATCTGATTTAAAAGTTATTTCACCTTACGTTTTTATTATTAAATATATTTTAGGTGGCTGTTTTACGCGAGTATACCCCACATTCTAATTCAAGTGGTCTATTTGTATTCGGCCTCACTCTGTTAATTGTTTGCTTATTGTTAACAAGAAAGATTTAAATAATTGTTTGTTATTATTATTATTGTTACCTATTTATCTCTAGTTATATATCGTTTGTTAAAATTTCACATGAAATGGGAACCACACATATATAAGTTCACTTGGAGCACTTTCAAGATTAATATTGTTTTATATCGATATACTGTGTGGTACATCACCAACTACAACCATTTTTAAGCAAATAATAAGAATGTCTTTTAAGTACTGTTATTTCATATACTCGTTTATTCCTTTTGTATCTCCATAGTCAGGAAAATTATTTAAAATAGATACAGTCCCCGAATAAAGATAAAAGTATTCTCGCTCCTAGGTACCATGTGACTAATGGTGGTAATTGTAGGTGAACATATTTTTTTCTGTATCCTCTTTTTCTTTCTCTGTACAGTAGCCTCGTATTAAATTTGCATTTGATGATTAAGTCAGTGAGTGATTAAAAACCTAGGTGTTCTGTGTTAGTCCCTCAGCTGCTTTCTTCTCACTATGTTATACAGAAAGGATATTGATGAAGCATATCATGTTTTAAAATGCAAATGAATCTTCCCCACGTCGACTTCTATCTATCTCATAATTTGTAATTCCTGGTTTTTGTTGTTCTTATATATCACTCAAATATATATATATATATACTTGTAAAAGAATAAACAGATGGTATTTTCAAACAAAAATCCTCAACTTTAAGTGCCTTGTTTGCATACTGTTAGTAACCAGGTATTTTGTTTATTGTTACTTGATAATATTGCACGGTATATTTAGTCTCTGTTACGTCTTAATGTTTTACTCTCTGTACGTGTTTCTGTGTGTTCGTTTTTCATTATTTGATCCTTTTTAATCAGGTCATCAGTGCTCTATATCGCCTGTGCACATCAAATCTACTTCGTTCTCTTTCAAAGTTAATTATTCAGCGTCCCATCGATTTTGTTCTGACTGACAAATTCTCGCTTTGTTGTCTTAGCAAATCGTAACAAAATAATTTTTTCTTTCTTTCACTATTTATTAAACTTTGGATCATATTTGTAGCATTTTTTCCTTTTTTTTCTACTATGTGTAAATTTTAATTATATTTTGTCATTGATTAATATCAAAATTGAGGTAAATGTTACTTTTTAATCTTAATCAATTTACGGCAAGTATAAGCTGTTGTGCGTTATTTATCCCTATGTAGTTTAACCTAAACAATGTAAGATTATAGAAGATAGTCTTTGTTAGAATCAGAATACTAGTTGTTCCGGCGTGCTATACCTCAGACATTTAGTCAGGATTCTTGTAAAACACAGTAAATTCGTTCGCCATATTTGATTCGAGAAGTTTGTTGTTTACGTTTATTCAAGAACTCTGAAAGTGAACGTTTGAAGAGATTGATTTACCTCTTCTTACATTCTAAGCTTTCTTCATGATCAAATATCAATTCGTCGGAGGGCGTAGATATAGATTCCTCGCACTTGGAAGCTCCCATGAGGATAACGAATGCGCCCAATTCCTCATGAGTTTATTACGATTTACTGACTTCTATCGACCTATTTTGGCGAACTACTATTGTAACTCTAAAATCTCTTACTCATGTACCCTCAGAATTCATGTAAAGTCTTCGGAACAGTAGTCAAAACTCGTTACTGATAAGAAAACATTTATTCCATCTAACAATTGTCGAATGCCGTTATAGTTCGTTCAGGTTGTCAGTAAGAAGGCTTACTTACGCCTGTTACCCATCGTGGAGAAGTATAGACCGTCCATCAGCATTCTCCAACGAAATCTGTCCTAGGCAATCTTTTCCCATTGTTTCTAGTTGCTATTCATGTCTACTTCCAATTCCCGACTCTGTGTTCTTTGGCTTTCCTCTCTTCCATTCCCCTTCAGGATTCCAAGTTAGGTCTAGCCTCGTGATGTAGTTTGATAACTTCAGCAATATATATCCTACCCACTTCCAACGTCTTTTCCTAACTTTCTCTTCACTCGGAATTTAGTTTGTTCTCTACCACAGTAGGTTGTCGCTGATGGTAATCGGCCAGTGGATGTGGAGTATCTTGCATAGAAAACTGTTTATAAATATCTATGCCTTTTTGTTGATGGTTGTATTGGTTCTCCACGTTTCAGTTCCGTACAATGAAACCGTTCTGACTTTAATGTTGGCTGACAGTTATTTTGAGTCCGAGATGTTCCTCAATTGTAGGAATGTGGCCCTTTGTCAATCCGTGCCTTTATATTTACATCAGATTCTCCTTGTTAATCGGTGATGCTGCCCGGGTATGTGAAGGTTTCCGGAATTTCTCCACCAAGTGTGATTGGGTTGGTGTTCTCCATGTTGTATTTGAGGATCTTGGTTTTTTCCTTGTGTACGTTGAGGCCTGGTGCAGAGGCTTCCGCCTACACTGGTTGCCCTGGCCTGCATTTGTTGGTGTGTATGGGATAGAAGAGCTAGATCATCTGCGAAGTCCAAGTCGTCTACTTGATTCCGTGCTTCCACTCAGACGTGTTAGTCGTCATAATCCAGTCAACCACCAGAAGAAAGATGAGAGTAAGCAGCCTTGTCTGACTCCGATCCTCACTTGGAATGCGTCTGTCAGCTGTCCTCCATCCACCACTTTGTAGTGTAGTCCGTCGTGTGAATTCTGATGGTGTTGACGATTTTTTCAAGTAAATCTGTCACCATCCTCATTTCTTCCTCCCAATCTTTGTCGTCCCAGGATATCTTCATACCCGGTGTTGTCCATTTCGACTTTGGCGTTTAAGTCTTCCATCAGATAGTGAGGTCCTTTCCTGGGCACTTCGCTGCGATTGATCGGCACCTCTTGTGAAACTGATCTTTATCGTCGTTGCTGCTGTCATTGGTGGTTGCATAACACTGGATAACACTTATTGTGATTCCCTCCTTTGTTTTGAAAAATGCTTTAATGATTCTGGATCCGTGAGATGCCCATCCAATACGTGCTTCTTTGGACAGCATCAGAGCAACTCCCCGAGTGTGTGGGGCATTTTCTTCTTCGTGCCTGGAGTACAGCAGCATCTCTCCCGAATCTATCATTTTCTGTCCAGGTTGGGTCCAATGGGTCTCACGGATTCCAAGAACCGTCAAGTTGTATCTCCTCATTTCTGTAGCTATTTGACTGATTCTCCAAGATTGTCAGAACATTTTAT